CATTATTAGGACAAAAAAGTATAAAGTGAAGTTAGTTAGTTATGTTAGCTGCACAATTAGACAGACAACACATGTAGCTCGTCCAGTGACAGGCATGAGGTCAGAGGTCTTGATTAAATCTGTTGCAACAGTGGAAATTTCCACTGCAGCAGTTTCACTTTTCTTTTCCTTTTTTTCCTTGCGTCCTCCCTCTGTCCCTCAGTAAGAGCTGAGGATGAAGCTGAAGGTCGGACTGAAGACCCTGTGACGCTCCACAGCTGGTAAGATCAAACTATTTTATTCTTTTTTGGTATTTTGTTTCTCCAACATATTTACTTCAGTCTATGACACATTTTGAGATTTCATTCTTTTAAAGAATAAAATCTCAGCACAAACAAAATGAACTGCTGCTTCTGGAACTTTCAACCACATCTTGTTGATCTTTTTTTAATGTTTCTTTATATCTTGTGTACATAGCATAAACAAATGCAACACACCACAGCCTCTATAGCTGAAGCCAGTGGTGTAGTGGTGGCAGGAGAAGTGAGTACACTCTTATTTTATGTCCCTAAAGGCTTTTTAAGCAGCTCATCCAGCAAATGATAAACTGCCTGTGTGAACTCCTGCTGCTGGACTTTAGTTAGGATCATTATAAAATGAACATTAGACACAGAAGAGGAGCAGATTTTACAATAAATACTGGGAAGATTCAGAAGTATTACAAACAAGCATCATAAGAGTTTAAAATGATCATGTTTTTATGGTTATGTGGGCTTAGATGAGTTTAAGATCAGTAAATTTAATGAAATGATCATGATTTAAGATATTTAATTATATTGCAATGATGTGGTTGTATCGTGTGTGTTATGTAATCCTTCCTGTATACCTCAGGTTACAGGGTGTGTGTGTGTGTGTGGGTGCTGCTGTGATGTGTGTGTGTGTGTGTGTAGCTATGAAGAGGTTTATTGTGCACATACACTGATTTGAAAGTCAAATACATCTGCTGTTGCTATCAAGTTATAATCTCCTGATTAGATAACCTGCAGCATTTATAATATTCCCAGTATGTATCTCAAGTGAGATCACAAACTATAATGTTTATTACCGATCAATACATAAAACATTGTAATTACATTCTTTGCTTGTTGACTCCTATTTCATATTATGGTAAATGGACTGTACTTGTATAACGCCGTTCTATTCTTCTGACCACTCGAAGCACTTTTACACTACAGCCACATTCACACACACTCACACACACTCACACACAACCATCTGATTAGTGAACGCCCTGCTCTTCCTCTGAGACACAGCTGATCCCATGATTTGGCAAATAACCAGGCCAGGGTGTGTCTGTTATGTCAAAAAGTAAATAAAGAGACTCAACATAAGAAAGTTCAGCCGATAAGATTCAACAAGAAGCCAGAGTAAATTATAGTCTCATATACGTGTATAAAGTTTGTCATGGTTATACAGTTAAGTAAAGAAAATTATGTCTTTAGTGCACTCCGCAGTGGTGGTAAAACTAAATGTATGTGTATAGTATTTTGTGTGATGATGATATGATGATGTTAACTCTACATGTTAATGTAAAACTCATGACTCAGAGGCAGGCTGACTTTTGTATTGCTAGTGTGTGACAAAGGCTGACAAAGAAATAAAGTTGTCGTGTTTATTAAACTATGTTGTTGGATTGTGTGCTGAGAGAATCCTCGGTAGTAGTGAGACTTGATACAAACAAGATTAAACAAGTTATTTTTCAGTTCTACAGTTTGTTAAACCAGATGCTTAACATGTGTGAAAAAGTTCATTCTCAACTTAAAAGTAGTAGTTTGACACTAAATTGGGGCTTTCACTTGTATTTCATGGTCTTCATCAGCAGACAGAGTTCACTCAGGTGTCCTGGAGATGTGTTTAGTTGCACCAAATAACTCAAAGTGACTTTCTTCTTTCAGACTTGATCTCAGTTTTCTGGTCTCTGGTTGGAGGATCAGAGATCAGAGACCTCCATCATGGGCACCGCTGACCAGCTGCTGGACCAGATGTTCTTCTGGCTCGAGCAGAGGGAGCGCTGTGCAGAGAAGCTGAGGAAACTGGCCAAAGAGCTGGAGTCACTCAGGGAGAAATGCAACATCAGAGAATTTGTTGGAAGCACAGCATTGGTAGTTGGATCTGCATGTTTGTTTGCAACTGGTGTGGCCACTTTTGTCACCGGTGGTGCAGCTGCTCCACTTTTAGTTACAACAGGAGCAGTGTTTTCAGGTACAGGTGTCACCATATCTGTGACTTCTAAAATGATTGAGCACTTCTCATCCAGCAAAACCATGAAAGAGGCGCAGAGGATAGAAGAGATGAGCAACGAGGTTGCAGAAGAAATCCAGAGACTGTTTGATGAACTGAGGGCGAACAGTTCCTCTGCAGATCCGGATGAAGTGGACCAACACGTCTTCACTGAAATTCTGAGAGCTATGGCCAGACGAAGTGGACTGCAGGGGCAGATCAATATCAACAGGGTTAATAACCAGCTGCAGGTTTCTTTTGATGCAGGACCAGGAAACACGAGGCTCAACCAGGCACTCTTAAACCGTCAAACAATAGTTGGAGTTGCTATTATTTTAACATTTTTCTCATTTAAGCTTAGTGGGACACAATTTAGACGCTTCCTTACTGAAGGAGCTAAACAACTGATCAAACAAATAAGTACATTTAGTGTTATAAGACTGGACCGGATCATCAAATCTGGTGCAAAAACACTCCTCAAAAAAATACCTTCAAAAGTTCTTAAAGGAGGTGTCATGGTAAGAGTCTGTAACTGTTTCATTATCACACAAAATAAAATAATTTATGGTTGATAATTACTGGTTTATTGTCTTAATGATTTTCTTTTAATAAATGTACATGTGTTGTACATTGCTTGAGGCTGACAATATTGAAAATGAATCTTTATTTATCCATCAGGTTGTGGGAGGAGCTGTTGGACTGGCGATTGAACTTCCTGAGGTGATTGAAAACTGGAAAAAGCTGATTGAGAACAATCATGTGACTGAAGCCAGCCAATTACTGAGAGATACAGCTGATGACATTCTAGTGACCTGCCGGACGCTGAGGGAACAGTTTAACAGCATCAGGTATGAAGTTAACAAATTACAACCTCTTACCACCCACTAACTTCTATTAGTGACTGACAACCAGTATTCAAATTACTTCTCTTAGAGATACTAGGAAAACTGATTGATTGATGATACATTGATGATCTTTTTCTTGCTCTATTTACAAAACCATTGAAAAGATAGAAACTAAGACAAGAAACAAAGATACATAAGTGTAAGAAACCATTTCAAACACCCTGCAACGTGTGTTCGATATGGGATTAAGGTCCATATTTACGGCCCGAGCAGCTCGAACCTAATTAGTGAAAGATCCACATTTCTGGCAGCATAAACATGCTACCAAACTCATGAAATGCGGCGCACGTGTCAGCAAAATGTACATATTATAAACCCAACATAAAGTCAGACATTCTGAATTTAATGTGCAACTTTGCCGCCATTTTTGACATGTCAGTGCGTTGCTCCTAGAATATTGATCACATTGACTTTGAATTTAATCAGTACACTTTAAAGACATTTAGAATTGAAGCATTGAAGTGTCCCTGGCATGGTGACAAGAGTCCAACAAGAGTCCCATGCAAATATTTAGTCAGACTCGTAGCGTCGCCTGCTGGAAACGAGGGCCGTTCATTGCTGTTTGCAGCTTTAATTAATTTTAAGAGGAACTTGAGCAGAAAGGAGTGCTTCAGTGTAACCTGGAGGCTCATATAACATATCTCTGGTTTGAGGATTGTTGATTATTACAGGCTGATTCAGAGTTTCTCAGAGGTTGACCTTCAAAAACAAACCAAGTCACGGGCACACCGTTCAACACACATTCACAAGGAGCACAACTTTTAATCATGATGGTGTTCAGACTGCACTGATCAAATCTGAAGTTGATCCGATCAATTCCCTCGGAGTTTGTTCAAATAAAACGCCTGCAAATCGCCAAAACTGACTGAAATTCAATATAGCCAACTCCCTGTAAGGTTTAGGGTATGGGTGATAGTACATCATGATCAACGTGCATGCAGACGAAGACAAAATATTTGTATGAAAATACCTGTAGATAGAGAGCTTCATTATGTTGGTGTAAGTGGTTATGTGAATGTGACGTTGAAGCCAGGATGAGAAGTGATTGTAATGTTATCTGCTATTAATAATAAAGGTTTATAACGATATAACTTTATAAATTATGACTCACCACATTAGACACATTTTGACGCTGAAGTTATTACCTAAATCTTGGCAACCTTTGGTCCTGGGGCTTCTTGAATGATGCTAACTCTATGTTCACTTGTCTCATTCACAGACAGATGTTTGACGCGATGGCCGTACCTCACTAGGAAAAGTTTTCCAGATGGAAAACTGATGTGCTGTTGGTGATTTTTGCTTAGTTTTCAGCAATCACAGAGACAACATTATTACGACAATCCAGCTCAAGACAAAGAATAAAAAAATTAAAGATCATTTTCGTGTTTTTTAGTTTATTTAAACCCACTTAGTGTTTTAGCTGGGCCTCGTGTATCCCGACACTCTTTTGGTGACATCCAACTCTTGTTGTTGAGTTTGAATGCATTTATTTTCACAAGCAACCTGACAGACAGTCGAGCTTCAATGTTTAATATAAATAAAAGATTGTTTATATGGTAAAAAATTATATGTGTTTGTCAGGAAGCTGTAAACAAATTGAGTTTGTGTATTAGAGTTGTAGTTACCTGAGCCTGGAAACACCCTGAATGAAAATGATGTTTGCTGTTTAAATTCACATGAAGCTAACAGTTATTGTAAACACAATCTTTAGTTATCCTGAAACAAACAGGGACTCTGAGCACTGCTGTGATCTCCTTTCATCTGATAATCATGATACTGATCAATACAAGTGTGACTAACTTTATCTTTATTATCTTTATAAATGTTTCATATATATCCTGTAGGGACAACTTACACATTCATTAAATGATCTTCATGTTATTATCAGTTGCTAGGCAGAGTTGAGCTTTAACACAAACTGCTGAGTAAAGAGGAGGGACGACATTTCATTTCTAACTTTCATCCATTTCTGGGAACAGAATTCCACAAGTTTTAATGATTGCGTTTCTTCTCCTGCTTCAACTTTCTGTCCTGATTTTCTAAATTGCTAAATTCAATAAAACTTGTATTTTCTTGTTGTTGGTGTGTCTTTATTATGTGCATGTTCCTAAAGGTAGCCCAGTGTTTTAAAAAATATAATAACTTATTTTAAACAAACAATATAGTTGTTAAATCCAATGTATGTGATGCAGTATATGTTAGTGTGTGTGTGCACATACTGTAACACAGCTGCAACCATTAAAAACATATTTCAGCTTCATTGTAAACACTGAACATTTTAGCATCACCTGTTAATCTGTGGATTTAATTCTCAGTTGGCGTTAGTGTGATTAATGTATAAGTCAGCGACCACAAACATTTTTATGACATACTTAAATGAATTCAATAATTTCTTTACTTTCAGAAATCTGCTTCTTACAATGAATGAAAGCAACACTGTAGGTCGATAAGTGGCACAGTAGAATCAACAATACAGACGACCAGACAGACATCCACCCATCTTAGCACCCTTTCCTCACATGTCATTATTCACTATAAACTTTGCAATTTCATCTCGAAAGCCCGTATAAATAGCCCTATAGCTATATCATTCCTAGTATAACCACACATCTATACATGCCACTTAACTGTTCTCACATTCCCACCCTCTGAACAAATATTCGTTTAAAACAAACTGGAAGTTACCTCCAACTAATCAAATTACTGCCCATAAAACACGCAAATGAACTTTTCATATGGAAGCAGCAGACCATTTAGTTAAATACTTATCCCAGATGGACTGCATCGAAGTCAACTCTTAAGTCAACACTGTGATCTGAATATTTCCATCTACCTGCAGGGTCTCCTACATTCCAGAAGGATGGACACATAGTTCCTGAGCCTGCTCTCCCAGCATCAGACCACTCTTGTTGCTATTAAAAATTTGTGCACTTTCACAATGATGGCCCAGCTCAGGTGGTAGTGTATGCAGGACTGACTGCATAAATGAACAACTATACGGCCAAACCTCGCCATGCTACATATAACGAGCTTTGACATAGCTGTCCCACAGGACGCGAGCTGTACGTGCGAAAGGAGAAGGGGGGCGGGGGGGCGGGCGGGGGGCGGGCGGGGGGCGGAGGGGGGGCGGGGGGGGCGGGGGGGCGGGGGGGGGGGGGGCGGGGCGGGGGGGGGGGGGGGGGGGGGGGGGGGGGGGGGCGGGGGGGGGGGCGGGGGGCGGGGGGGGGGGGGGGGGGCGGCGGGGGGGGCGGGGGGGGGGGGGGGGGGGGGCGCGGGGGGGGGGGGGGGGGGGGGGGGGGGGGGGGGGTGATTTTTGTTTACGTTAAAAATAAAGTAAACATCTACAGAGGAATGCGATGAGTGTTGTTATACAAAGGAACGAACTGGGACCTACAACTGCTATCGCAAAGGTTTTCCACTGCCTTCGATAATCAACTGAATTAGGTGACCTTTTATTTGAAAAGATGTAACAACCTCTCAGGATATGGGACACATACTAAATATTTTACTAGCAGCTAAGGTAGTCCCAGTTCTTATAGTTTCGAGAATTTTTTCAATTCTCTTACAAATCTTTGAAGATACCTACCCATAAGCATTTTTAAATGATGGAAGTTTCTAAAGGACTGTGAGGGCCGTTCTCCATAGTTTGTAATGTTATCTCCTCCCTCCACTATACTTTAAACTGTCGTAAAGACTTTTTTTTAAACAATCTTAATTCCACCACTGAAGACATCCATGACCACAATCTGTTTTAATCTTTATTATTCCAACTTTATGTTCCTCTGTGCGTTGTTTGTGTGATTGATTCATATCCAATATAGTGACACGTACATTACACATTATTGACTTTATAATTATTGTTCTGCTAAAAGAGCATGTGATACAAGGAAATACAAGGAGGGCAGCACCTGATTGATTTGTGATCTCATAATTACTTTATAACTCCTGCGTGGATTATATTACATTACTATATTCAATCAAGCTATTTAATATCATGCTATACACACCTATCTGTCACATATCTCAAACACGCATTGCTCTGAGCAGCTTCAGGGTTGCTCAGTTAACAAACACACTGGTGGAAAAGCCTGCGGTGCACCGTGCACAGAGAGTCTGATAGTCTTCCACTGAAAAAGCAAATATCACAATTACTGAATACTATGAAATGTTCTGGTAAAGCATCCAAGGTTCATCTGTTCAGAACATTAACACAGCAAACAGAATTTCATTCAGATGTTCTCAGCTCAATCAACTAACAACTGATCAACATCTAAAAATAAATATAATTTATAGCTCCTGACAATACACCATCATCTATGTTACCATAAGAAAATCCTCCTCACAACTGTAACTTCTCCATAAATAAGTTACAACAAAAGTATGATCGCTGATCAGACACGTGCTTGGACTCATTATCCGTATAAATCGTGCAGGCTGGACTGCGGCTCAGCACGCAGAGAGCTGCCGTCGAACCGTTCTTGCTGTGCATCCGTGCTGTCGACGATGAACAGAGCAGAAAAGGCACGCCAC